TCACTGACGACTTTAATTCGAACCACAACGCTGTAAATGCTTCACCCACGTACTACAAATACAAGTAATCGTCAACAGAACCTAAACACCTAACCTAAGTTAAGCAATGCCTACATATGTACAATTTGGTAATATAAAATAATATTAATTTATATTTGACAAAATTCCTGTTTTGAATAAACAATATAAATGAATTTATGAATGCGTCTTTGGGGTCGACCGCTGAATGGAATGGACTTGGTCTGAGGGCGGGAAGAATAATATAGTCATGGGGACCATCGCCATATTGCTTGGTGATCACTGTGGCAGGTCGTCAGCAGTCATGCAGGCCAGCTGCCTGACCTTCCATTGGCTGAGGAAGCCTTTCCTCCTATATACTCCCAGTGATGTCAGAGGAACCTGTGGTTGACCCAATCAGTTGATGAGTTGGGGTAGTGACTGCCTTCTGATTGGTGTTCTGTGGTGGTGGTAACGACGTGCGAGGTGTGGGCTCATTTACTCACGCACACAGTCATCGAGGACTTGGTACTGAAATGACTTCGCCTCTCTACCTCTCAGTCACATTTATTGAGCGCCAGAAATTCAGCAAAGACAACTCCATTAATCTTCTCCGGCAACGGTGGCGCTTAGGGCAGCGTTGGAGGCGAGTTATGCTGCCAGTGGGCACATGCTTCGGCGTCGGCGAGGAGGAAGAGTGTGCGGGAATGCGTGCGTACAAGCCGTTTTTTATGATGAGTAAGTACTTGTAATGTTGTATACGCCTTTTCTCACATTCGTGGTGCTGAAGTGCAGCCCAGCTGAGACTGGCGGAGTTCTTGACTCGACATCGGTGCCGGCGCTGTAAAGTGTAAGATACGTCATGAGTGCTGGTCTATGACTCGGTACCTGTACGGGATTTATGTCCCATTCACACACATCAGAATGTATGTTCAAGCGGTTTCTTGCAAGCATCATTACAGTTCCTATAATTGGCCATTGATGTTAGGACAGTGTGTGGTAGGCAACCGGGATTTGTTGACGTGTTATATTAAGTGCTCAGGGGAACGACCACTGTGTAACCTTGTACATGACGCTACTTAACGTACAGATAATTATCACCCAATTGTGTATATATATGTGCTTAAGTTTAATGAATTGTTGTAAGATGATGTAATGCCCCTGTTCACCCAGCAGTAAACAGGAACCTGTGAGTTAGTCAGCTTGTGAGGTTTGTATCCAGGTGGGGAGGGGGGGGGGTCAGTGCTTGGACCTTGGGGGAGGAGCCTCAATATAAGCCTAACATGTGTATATATATATACACTGGCTGTCTGTCCCCGCCGCAATGAATTATTGTAATTATATTTTCGTCTCAATTTACGATATCCATATTATGCTGGCACTCGTCATAATAGTTTAATGGAACAGAATCTGCGATTCTCTGCTTCACTCCGCGGAGTCAAATGCTGCTTATAATTTGGCAGAATTTACATTAGTCTATTAGTGTCGCTCCAGGCACTTTACACTTGTTGATAACCACTGGGGATGGTTGGCCCCCCTGGCCTGGCCACACACACACGTGGTCCAACCACAGTAACGTCGGACACAAGCTCTGGCCTTACCAACTCCTGGGTTTAGGCCGTCTCTGCTCCTCACTTCCCACGGCACCAAATGATATGACGATATAATATTCGCTAAATATCTATTGCTGGTTTTATCCTGCCACAACCTGATAGACTATCATGGCCTCACGCTTGCATGTTGTGTCCTGCAACACTGTACACTTATTAAATGTGCAAGATTGAAGGTAATCTTTACGACTGTAGCTGCCTCTGTTGCACCTGTGACTACACCACAGGTGTGGCTGCGGCCAGAGACCTTTAATTGGTGATTAGAAGGTTGTCGCTCACCTGTGGCTCAGGTGGAACAGCTGCCTCGTGCTCAGAGTACCTGTTATGGTACTACTGAGGTACCTGGTCGGCCTCGCCTGTAGACAAGCGAGGAAGTGTCTTGGTATACTGAAGCAGCACTTGGGTAAAGATTCCGTAATTACCTCACCTTGAGGTTACCTTGAGATGGTTTCGGGGCGTAGCGTCCCTGCAGCCCGGTCCTCGACCAGGCTTCCTCATCAAGCAGGCTGTTGGACGCAGCTGCTCGCAGCCTGACGTATGAGTTACAGCCTGGTTGATCGCCTAACCCGTCCTAGTATGTTACCCTCAAGGTTACCTCCCTTGTACTTCACTCGCAAAGCAGTCCGTCCTCCTAAGGTCTCCCAAACGTCAAGAAAACGGTGAAATGAAAGTGTTGTTTACTAACCTGCCAGAGGACCTAAAACAAAAAACGGGACAGTACGTCACTTTCGCCAGCCGCTTGACATGGATCTGTTCAAGAGCTTTCTTAACTGAGAACCTGATAATATTCCAACGCATACGTTGTGATAAACAGCCATTACTACGTTTGTTTATCAGTATGTTTAAAAGTGTGTTTATCAATATGCTTATCAGTAAGTTTAACAATATGTTTATCAGTTTCTTCTCAGTGTGCGTGTTTGTTTCTCAGTAAACATCAGTATGTATGTTTCTCAGTAAACATCAGTATGTATGTTTCTCAGTAAACATCAGTATGTATGTTTCTCAGTAAACATCAGTATGTATGTTTCTCAGTAAACATCAGTATGTATGTTTCTCAGTAAACATCAGTATGTATGTTTCTCAGTAAACATCAGTATGTTTCTCAGTAAACATCAGTATGTATGTTTCTCAGTAAACATCAGTATGTATGTTTCTCAGTAAACATCAGTATGTATGTTTCTCAGTAAACATCAGTATGTTTCTCAGTAAACATCAGTATGTATGTTTCTCAGTAAACATCAGTATGTTTGTTTCTCAGTAAACATCAGTATGTTTCACAGTAAACATCAGTATGTTTCACAGTAAACATCAGTATGTTTCTCAGTAAACATCAGTATGTTTGTTTCTCAGTAAACATCGGTATGTTTCACAGTAAACATCAGTATGTTTCACAGTAAACATCAGTATGTTTCACAGTAAACATCAGTATGTTTGTTTCTCAGTAAACATCAGTATGTTTGTTTCTCGGTAAACACCGGCATGCGCGTTTCTCGGTAAACACCGGCATGCGCGTTTCTCGGTAAACACCGGCATGCGCGTTTCTCGGTAAACACCGGCATGCGCGTTTCTCGGTAAACATCGGCATGCGCGTTTCTCGGTAAACATCGGCATGCGCGTTTCTCGGTAAACACCGGCATGCGCGTTTCTCGGTAAACACCGGCATGCGCGTTTCTCGGTAAACACCGGCATGCGCGTTTCTCGGTAAACACCGGCATGCGCGTTTCTCGGTAAACACCGGCATGCGCGTTTCTCGGTAAACACCGGCATGCGCGTTTCTCGGTAAACACCGGCATGCGCGTTTCTCGGTAAACACCGGCATGCGCGTTTCTCGGTAAACACCGGCATGCGCGTTTCTCGGTAAACACCGGCATGCGCGTTTCTCGGTAAACACCGGCATGCGCGTTTCTCGGTAAACACCGGCATGCGCGTTTCTCGGTAAACACCGGCATGCGCGTTTCTCGGTAAACACCGGCATGCGCGTTTCTCGGTAAACACCGGCATGCGCGTTTCTCGGTAAACACCGGCATGCGCGTTTCTCGGTAAACACCGGCATGCGCGTTTCTCGGTAAACACCGGCATGCGCGTTTCTCGGTAAACACCGGCATGCGCGTTTCTCGGTAAACACCGGCATGCGCGTTTCTCGGTAAACACCGGCATGCGCGTTTCTCGGTAAACACCGGCATGCGCGTTTCTCGGTAAACTCCGGCATGCGCGTTTCTCGGTAAACTCCGGCATGCGCGTTTCTCGGTAAACTCCGGCATGCGCGTTTCTCGGTAAACTCCGGCATGCGCGTTTCTCGGTAAACACCGGCATGCGCGTTTCTCGGTAAACACCGGCATGCGCGTTTCTCGGTAAACACCGGCATGCGCGTTTCTCGGTAAACACCGGCATGCGCGTTTCTCGGTAAACACCGGCATGCGCGTTTCTCGGTAAACACCGGCATGCGCGTTTCTCGGTAAACATCAGTATGTGTGTTTGGACCCAACTGGTGCTACAGGTACCATCACTTGAGGAAGATGGGCGGCATTAATCACGAACGAGTCCTCTGGACTGCCCTACTATAAGCCTAATATGTTACCTGGTAACTTGCTCCCATAAGTCATCAACTATTGCAAGTTAATATAATCTAGCGCTGCCTAAATTATTAATGACAATACCTGTGTTGAAGATCTTCGGTGTCCAGCTCTCTTTAATTTAGTCACATATGGCAACTCCAGCAACAATTTTAGTCTAACCACTTGGCGTGGACGGTAGAGCGACTGTCTCGCTTCGTGCAGGTCGCCGTTCAATCCCCGACCGTCCAAGTAGTTGGGCACCATTCCTTTTCCCGCGTCCCATCCCAAATCCTAATCATTACCCCTTCCCAGTGCTATATAGTCGTAATGACGTGGCGTTTTCCCTTGATAATTCCCTTCCCTTCCAGCAACGTTACCTTTCATGTCCAAAGTTTTTGAACTGTAAAGTAAACAAAATATGTGAAACTAAGTTGAAACTTCAGTAAAATATTCGCTGATATATCCTTGACCAACCTACTACGGGCTCACCATAGCCCGTGCTACCTAGAACTATTTGTTCCAGGTAGCGAATCTTAAACAACAACAACAACAACCTTGACCATTAATATTATTCGCTGGTAAAGTCCTTGACCAATCCTGAGCGTCATACATCAAGTAACATTAATAAAAACTCTAAATTCTTCACGAGAGCAACTTTATTATAATGTGAATTGATTTGGAATAAAGTTTCTGAAACTGAATGGATCTCAATCCTGTGTGGGGGGGGAGGGGGGGGGAGGGGGGGGAGGGGGGGGAGGGGGGGGATGGGGGGGGCAGCAACACACGTGATTGGTGGAAAGTTTTATTGTCTTGTGCACAACAACAACAACAACAACATCAACAACAAACATTAACATGAAACATTAACATGAAACATTAACAAGACATTTGTGATGGAACAATTGTCACACAATGAGATTAACATACACATAAACAATGATTGTACTCGTGAGGCTCATTGGGTGATTGTATACACAAGTGAGGCTCATTGGGTGATTGTGTACACAAGTGAGGTTCACTGGATGATTGTGTACACAGGGGAGGCTCACTGGATGATTGTGTACACAGGTGAGGCTCACTGGGTGATTGTGTACACAAGTGAGGCTCACTGGGTGATTGTGTACACAAGTGAGGCTCACTGGATGATTGTGTACACAAGTGAGGCTCATTGGGTGATTGTGTACACAAGTGAGGCTCATTGGGTGATTGTGTACACAAGTGAGGCTCACTGGGTGATTGTGTACACAAGTGAGGCTCACTGGGTGATTGTGTACACAAGTGAGGCTCACTGGATGATTGTGTACACAAGTGAGGCTCATTGGGTGATTGTGTACACAAGTGAGGCTCACTGGATGATTGTGGGAGACGTTTTTATGGGCAATGTTGGTTAACCTGGAGGTTAACTTGTTTTTGGGAGGCCGGCTGGGTGTGGTGGAGGCCGGCTGGGTGTGGTGGAGGCCGGCTGGGTGTGGTGGAGGCCGGCTGGGTGTGGTGGAGGCCGGCTGGGTGTGGTGGAGGCCGGCTGGGTGTGGTGTAAGACCCATCTACCCTGCAGGTCTGGAGCCGCACTTCACCTGAAGAACAGAAACATTAGGATGACATTATGACGAGGATTGTGTCATTAAGATACCCACAACCCCCACCCAACCCCTCCTCTCCCCCTCCCTCCTCCCTCCCTCCCCCCTTCTTCCCATCACCCCCTTCAACTCCTATTCTGACTCCCACGACGAGATTGGCAACTGACCCCCCTCCCCCTCAAAAAAAAATCTTATCATATACTCCATTATTTATTGATCTCGGGAAAATTAATATAAATATTTAGCAATTCACACTTGGGCCGTAGTGGCATAACTCAGACCGTCATCCCACAACTGGGGCTCCTCCCACACCACAATGGTACACTATAACATTACTTATATATAGAAGAGAGAAGCAGAGGGAAACAACAGAGGCATTCAGAGGCAAAGTGAGACAGACACGGAGACAGACACAGATAAAGACAGAAAGAGATAGGGAAAGAAGGTGGAAGAGGAGGGATGCTTGATGACGGGGAAAGATACAGTAGACAGGTGGAGAGGGGGGGTAGACAGGTGGAGAGGGGGTGAGAGGGGGGGTAGACAGGTGGAGAGGGGGTGAGAGGGGGGGTAGACAGGTGGAGAGGGGGTGAGAGGGGAGGTAGACAGGTGGAGAGGGGGTGAGAGGGGGGGTAGACAGGTGGAGAGGGGGTGAGAGGGGGGGTAGACAGGTGGAGAGGGGGTGAGAGGAGGGGAGACAGGTGGAGAGGGGGTGAGAGGGGGTAGACAGGTGGAGAGGGGGTGAGAGGGGGGGTGGAGAGGGGGGTAGACAGGTGGAGAGGGGGTAGACAGGTGGAGAGGGGATGAGAGGGGGGGTAGACAGGTGGAGAGGGGGGTGAGAGGGGGTAGACAGGTGGAGAGGGGGGTGAGAGGGGGGTAGACAGGTGGAGAGGGTGTGAGAGGGGGGTAGACAGGTGGAGAGGGTGTGAGAGGGGGGGTAGACAGGTGGAGAGGGTGTGAGAGGGGGGTAGACAGGTGGAGAGGGGGTGAGAGAGGTGGACAGGGGGTGAGAGGGGGGGTAGACAGGTGGAGAGGGGGTAGACAGGTGGAGAGGGGGTGAGGGGTAGACAGGTGGAGAGGGGGGGTTAGAGGGGGGGTAGACAGGTGGAGAGGGGGTGAGAGGGGGGTAGACAGGTGGAGAGGGGATGAGAGGGGGGGTAGACAGGTGGAGAGGGGATGAGAGGGGGGGTAGACAGGTGGAGAGGGGGGGTGAGAGGGGGGTAGACAGGTGGAGAGGGGGGTGTGAGGGGGGTAGACAGGTGGAGAGGGTGTGAGAGGGGGGTAGACAGGTGGAGAGGGTGTGAGAGGGGGGTAGACAGGTGGAGAGGGTGTGAGAGAGGTGGAGAGGGGGTGAGAGGGGGGTAGACAGGTGGAGAGGGGGTGAGAGGGGGGTAGACAGGTGGAGAGGGGGTGAGAGGGGGGGTAGACAGGTGGAGAGGGGGTGAGAGGGGGGGTAGACAGGTGGAGAGGGGGTGAGAGGGGGGGTAGACAGGTGGAGAGGGGGTGAGAGGGGGGGGGTAGACAGGTGGAGAGGGGGTGAGAGGGGGGGGTAGACAGGTGGAGAGGGGGTGAGAGGGGGGGTAGACAGGTGGAGAGGGGGTGAGAGGGGGGGTAGACAGGTGGAGAGGGGGTGAGAGGGGGGGTAGACAGGTGGAGAGGGGGTGAGAGGGGGGGTAGACAGGTGGAGAGGGGGTGAGAGGGGGGGTAGACAGGTGGAGAGGGGGTGAGAGGGGGGGTAGACAGGTGGAGAGGGGGTGAGAGGGGGGGTAGACAGGTGGAGAGGGGTGTGAGAGGGGGGGGTAGACAGGTGGAGAGGGGGTGAGAGGGGGGGTAGACAGGTGGAGAGGGGGTGAGAGGGGGGGTAGACAGGTGGAGAGGGGGTGAGAGGGGGGGTAGACAGGTGGAGAGGGGGTGAGAGGGGGGGTAGACAGGTGGAGAGGGTGTGAGAGGGGGGTAGACAGGTGGAGAGGGGGGTAGACAGGTGGAGAGGGGGTGAGAGGGGGGTAGACAGGTGGAGAGGGGGTGAGAGGGGGTAGACAGGTGGAGAGGGGAGAGGTAAAAAAAAGCGGAAATATTAGCAGATGGCGAAAATGGGCGGGACGTGTGTGTGTGGGGGGGGGGGGAGGGGGAAATTGGGAAGGGCGAGAGGGGAAAGGAGACTCTCTCTCCCTCTCCCCTTCTCTCCCTCTCTCCGTACTTACATAAGTACTGGGCCTACAGCCGTTTTCTTCTTCACTGAAGAGAAAGTAAGGGAGGCAGGAGGTGATGACGCCGCTGGCCTCACCAGTACACTGGCAGTACCGGGCACAGTCGCTGGGCACAGCGAACTGTTGGACGAAGAAGGTCAGCAGGCGGCACGGATTGGCCACTTCGGGTGGGCAGGCGGCTGGCGCCGGAAGTAGTGCTTGCAGGGAGGGTGGGGTGGGCAGCGAGGGTGGGGTCTGGGCCTGGGTACGGGGCAGACATATCCCCACCAGGAGAGCCGTCAGCAGCAGGGGTCCCTTCATCTGTTGAGGATGAGTAAGAATGATTGGGTGAGCTTAATTAGATGAGAAAATCTAGTTCTAGTTCTAAAGGGGTGAATGGAACGGAACTATCAGGAGTAAGCGCCAAGCCATTACGACTATATAGCACTTGGAAGGGATCAGGTGAGGATTTGCGATGGGACGGGGGGGGGAGGGGAAAGGAATGGTGCCCAACCACTGGGACGATCGGGGATTGAACGCCGACCTGCATCAAGCCAGACTGTCACTCTACCGTCCAGCCAAAGTGGTTGGTCTCTAAAGGGGTGAGAAATCTAGTTGTTGGAGCCCCACTTATAACAATTTGTTACTTATATCTAGATTAAATGTTACAGGACGCATCTTAGGATGCCTTTCTGGCGCACATAACTGTACATGGCCTCGTACGTACACACACACACACACACACACACACACACACACACACACACACACACACACACAGCATTGGGTTTGTAAACAAGCACCAACATGGGTTCTGGACAGGGAAATCATGCCTAACAAACCTTTTAGAATTCTATGATAAAGTAACAAGGATAAGGCAGGACAGAGAAGGCTGGGCAGACTGCATATTTCTTGACTGCCAAAAGGCCTTTGATACGGTACCGCACATGAGACTGCTATACAAACTTGAGAGGCAGGCAGGAGTAAGCGGAAAGGCCCTAGTATGGGTGAAGAACTACCTAACAGGAAGGAGCCAGAGGGTAATGGTAAGGGGCGAAAAGTCGGACTGGCGAACAGTAACAAGTGGAGTACTCAAGGATCGGTGCTGGGACCAATCCTCTTTCTAATTTACGTAAATGATATGTTTACAGGAGTGGAATCATACATGTCGATGTTTGCAGATGACGCAAAATTAATGAGAAGAGTTGTGACAGACGAGGATTGTAGGATCCTCCAAGAGGACTTAAACAGGCTGCAGAGATGGTCAGAGAAATGGCTACTGGAGTTTAACACCAGTAAATGTAAAGTTATGGAAATGGGATCAGGTGACAGGAGACCAAAGGGACAGTACACAATGAAGGGGAACAGCCTACCTGTAACGATTCGAGAAAGAGACCTGGGAGTGGATGTGACACCTAATCTAACTCCTGAGGCACATATAAATAGGATAACGACAGCAGCGTACTCTACACTGGCGAAAATTAGAACTTCATTCAGAAACCTAAATGAGGAAGCTTTTAGGGCGCTTTACACTGCCTACGTGAGACCCGTCTTAGAGTATGCCGCGCCATCATGGAGCCCCCACCTGAAGAAACACAAAGAAACTGGAGAAGGTTCAGAGGTTTGCGACGAGGCTTGTCCCAGAGCAACGAGAGATGGGATATGAAGAGCGGCTGAAGGAACTGAACCTTACGACACTAGAGAAAAGAAGGGAGAGAGGAGATATGATAGGGACATATAAAATACTCAGGGGAATTGACAAAGTGGAAATAGATCAAATGTTCACACGTAATAATAACAGAACGAGGGGACATGGGTGGAAACTGGAAACTCAGATGAGTCACAGAGATGTTAGGAAGTTTTCTTTTAGCGTGAGAGTAGTAGAAAAATGGAATGCACTTGGGGAACAGGTTGTGGAAGCAAATACTATTCATACTTTTAAAACTAGGTATGATAGGGAAATGGGACAGGAGTCATTGCTGTAAACAACCGATAGCTAGAAAGGCGGGATCCAAGAGTCAATGCTCGATCCTGCAAGCACATATAGGTGAGTACATATAGGTGAGTACACACCAAAGGGACAGTACACAATGAAGGGGAACAGCCTACCTGTAACGACGCGTGAAAGAGACCTGGGGGTGGACGTAACACCTAATCTATCTCCTGAGGCACATATAAATAGGATAACGACAGCAGCGTACTCTACACTGGCAAAAGTTAGAACATCATTCAGAAACCTAAGTAAGGAGGCATTTAGGGCGCTTTACATTGCCTACGTAAGGCCAGTCTTAGAGTATGCTGCCTCATCATGGAGTCCCCATCTGAAGAAGCATATAATGAAACTGGAAAAGGTTCAGAGGTTTGCAACGAGACTCGTCCCAGGGCTACGAGGGATGGGGTATGAGGAGCGCCTGAGGGAACTGTGCCTTACGACACTAGAAAGAAGAAGGAGAGAGGGGGGACATGATAGGAACGTATAAGATACTCAGAGGGATTGACAGAGTGGACATAGACGAAATGTTCACACGGAATAGTAACAGAACGAGGGGACATGGATGGAAGCTTGAAACTCAGATGAGTCACAGAGATGTTAGGAAGTTTTCTTTTAGCGTGAGAGTAGTGGGAAAATGGAATGCACTTCAGGAACAGGTTGTGGAAGCAAATACTATTCATAATTTTAAAACCAGGTATGATAGGGAAATGGGACAGGAGTCATTGCTGTAAGCAACCAATGCTCGAAAGGCGGGATCCAAGAGTCAATGCTCGATCCTGCAGACACAACTAGGTGAGTACACACACACACACTATTATTTAACTATTTAACACAAGGGGAACACGCACAAGGGGACACAGGTGGAAACTGAGTGCCCAAATGAGCCACAGGGATATTAGAAAGAACTTTTTTAGTGTCAGTGGTTGACAAATGGAATGCATTAGGAAGTAATGTGGTGGAGGCTGACTCCATACACAGTTTCAAGTGTAGATATGATAGAGCCCAATAGGCTCAGGAACCTGTACACCTGTTGATTGACGGTTGAGAGGCGGGACCAAAGAGCCAGAGCTCAACCCCCGCAAACACAACTAGGTGAGTACAACTAGGTGAGTACGTACACACACACACACACACACACACACACACACACACAGATATCATTCACACATGCATGATATCCTCTTGTATCATCCATCCAGCAAACACAAGCTTTTTTTTTCACGCTTATCACTGTTCACCTGATTGGACGGAAGAGCGACAGTCTCTCTTCATGCAGGTTGGGGTTCAACCCCCGACCGTCCAAGTGGTTGGGCACCATTCCTTCCCCCCGTCCCATCCCAAATCCTCACCCTGATCCCCTTCCCAGTGCTATATAGTCATAATGGCTTGGCGCTTTCTCCTGATAGTCCCCCCCTCCCTTACAACAGTCACCCACACTGTTCACACTCACGAGTACAGTAAGTGTATGAAAACTTACTCATTCACTTTTTTTCCATGGCACTTTTTTTGGAGGCCGCAAACCTCCCAGAGAACTCAGCGTTCTGGATTAGTCAGCCTTCTACCATCATGGCTGAGTCGGTTAAGGCAAGGGTCTGGTAATCACCAGTCCGCCAGTTCAATTCTGTTCAAGTCCCCCACGAAGCCTTTCATCCTCAGTGTATAATTAGAATTTAAAATTAAGTCGTCAGGCAGAGTGAGAAAAATCCTCTATTTAAAACAAATTACTAATTTCTAGAAAAATCTATTGATGACATTCTCTTCCAACTTCAAGTGTGAGGACTTGAGCACATGGGGTGTGCAATGTTGTATCTGTACAGCGATATACAAGTGTGTGAAGGAGGCTGACCGGGGCTGCAACCTTGGGTCAGACAGAGTTGATTAATCCGGTTGCACGAAGGACTCGTACAGGTCCATACGTACACCGGCCGGGAGGGAGATTTCTGCGGTGACGTGTGAACAATATCCCAGGGGGGGTGGGGCAAGATTCACGAAGCAGTTAAGCAAGCATTTACTAACCTGTACATCTTTTCTCAATTATTGGCGGCTTTGTTTACAATTATTAAACAGTTAATGAGCTCCGAAGCACCAGGAGGCTGTTTATAACAACAGTTGATTGGGAAGTTTTCATGCTTGTAAACTCTTTAATATATGTAACCAAAGCCGTCAAAGATTGAGGAAAGATGGACAGGTTCGTAAGTGCTTGTGTAAGTGCTTTCGTGAATCTGGCCCTTGGTCCCAGAGTGTGAGACGGTTTAACTCTGTAATTAACACAGGTTTATCTCTGTTTCAGCAGAGAGTTTCAGTGCTGAAACACTCTGACAACTTAATAATTGTTGATGTTGTTCATGCAGCTGATATGTTTAGTTCTTAACTACTTTCAAGGTAACTAAAACCCTAAACAGTTTGTAACTAGTTCACTAGTGCTGTAACTTGCTGAGTTAAACTGAATACTGAGACGGTCTCGAACCCATTGTTGATGTGACGACTTATATTGAATTTTGTAACTAGCTCATCAAGATTGTAACTTGTTTAGCTAAATGAATTGTGGGGTTCAGTCCCTGAGCCCATTATGTGCCTCTGTAACCCTTTCCACTACCGCCCACGGGATGGGTATGGGGTGCATAATAAATGAACTAAACTAAACTGAGACCGAGCAGCTCCTGAACCCATTATGTAAACTCGACGAACCAATGTTTACAGATTCACGAACACCAAGCGATGTTTACTATATATATAAACATCCTTAAATACTCATATAGTGTCTGTTGGTTCACGGGCACGTGATGTCAGCCCCTCATTAAATTGTAAACAATAATGAAGTAGAAGTAATATACTCACTTGTCCTTTCGTGGAGGTGCGGAGTGGAGAGTGTGGTGAGACTTGACGGTGAGGTGTGACAACACTGGCGGGCCGGCCTGCTGTTGACCAAATCAGAGTGTGAGAGTGAGGAGCAGGTATTGACTGCGGGTTACTGGGGTATATACCCCCAACCTGAGGTCATGCCCGCTGCCAGACGTACCCGCAATACTCTTCATATATATACCGCAGACTTTGACTGACAGCATAACGCCTCGCTGCGAGGAACAACACACACATAAAATAAACTGAGAATTAGAATAATGTTTGTGTGTCGTGACTAAACTCTGAACTTTCTCAGGACTAAACAAGCAGCAATTAGGGGTCAGTGGGCCACCCACCTACGCTTCCACTATCCATCACCCCTAATCCTCCCCCCACCCTGACCCCCCCCCCCCCCTGCAACAAACCCGCTCCACCCCTATTCCTGATCCACTCTTCCCAATCTTCTTCTACTGAACCAGGAACTTGTACCATGCATGTAATCAATATTATAACTTTTTTGTGTAATGACATTTTCAAATTAAGTTAGATAAATCCACCTGTCTGGTGGACCACCAGGTGCCCCACACCACCTGCAGGATTCGAACCTGGGCTAGGTACATATCATTAGGGAAATTTTTAAGGTTCCAGTGGCCTACTTGGAGGCGGAGCATGGAGAGAGTGCGGGAGAGAGAGTGCCGGGAGAAAGTTCTCTGGGAAGGAGGAGGAGGATGTTGAGTGCAGCTCACCTAGACTAGTCGGAACAGAGGAGGGCTTGCTTTTTACTGGGTCGTCGTTCGATTCCGATAATTA